ATGTTTCCACTATCAAAGGAAGTACGATAGGTCAGAGTAGGAAAAAATTAACTATAAAATAGGTCATAAAACAATGAACCAATTCATTCAACAAGATCCATTCGGATCAGACCAAGATGAATGAGATTGGTTTGACCTCTCGCTCGAAATTAATTTGTTGTCGACTGATCTAAAATCCTGTAGTGAAATCCAGACTGGTCGACTTTGCAAAATCACGTGTAGGCAACGATTTATTCATTGAATTTTCTTGACCCCATTTTTCCAATAAGTCGAAGTTCCTAGATCAAATATCGGACATGACATAAAGCCTTGCTGAAACAGACTACTAGACATACTCACTGGATTGTTCTTCTGATCCTCACGGTCATACCAAAAATTGCACTATAATGCAAATTAAGAACAAACTCAAACGTATTTACATACCCAACTTGCACAACCACAAAGGCACAAACTATAAATCCTGAAGCCAATGATATTTCAAAAACCGATTTGGGACCAAACATATCTTCTAATAATCTTGTGATGCAGATGATCTAAGTTGGAAGGTTTTCGAGAAGAACTTGATGGTGAGGATTGTCAAGTCAAGTAGGGTTTAAATGTATGCTGCTTTGTCACGATGTATGGAGTTGTTAAACCCAATCCATTAATAAGTGTATGGAGAGCATCAGTAGGAGGGTTTGAAGTACAAGAGTCTCACCAACGTTACCATTAGGGGTGCTCAAAAACCCGATCAACCCAACTTGAAATAACTCAACCCGAAGCAACCCGATGTCTAATCGAGTTGTAAAATTTTCAAACTGTAGGTATTGAGTTACTATTATTTGAACCCAACCTAACCTGGTGAACCCGATATCCATTTATTTCTTGGATTTAATATGCTTATTGAATTTCTATTAATATATACACTAGACAATTACATTATCACGTACGCTATTCATATACACATCTTTTCAATCTATTCACATCTCTATATAACTCATTCGTATATATGTTCAGTAACTGTAAACATATATACGTTAATTGAGAAAATTAACGTAATGTGATATACGTAAAAAATATGGATAAGTTGTATCAAATGGTTGATGATGAAAAAGAAATTATGAGTAAAGAAATAACGTATTCAAGATTAGAAGAACATTTTAATGTACTAAAGTATCAACCCGACCAACCCATACGGTTTGGGTTGGGTTGGGTTGAGATTTTTCAAACCGCAAACATTGGATTGAGTTGTTCAAATGTCTTAAACCCGATCAACCCAACCCATAAGCATCCTTAGGTACCATTAACAAAGATCAATCATGGTAAATATGGGTTCTTTTGGGAAAGAAATGAGAGTCGATTTCTTTTTTGAAATGTCATGTCACATTAAACCAGTAAATTGATAAAAGTTACCGTATACGGAATAGACATAAAAATATATGAACAAAATAAAATGAACGAAAACCAAACAAAACCATATCTCTAATTATTATTTTTATTTTGTAATAATGATTTGAAATAATTTCTTTGAGATTTTATTCATATAGCTTCGTCTTATTCATCCATTGACAACTTTTGATGATGATATATTTGAAATCTACTACTGAAATCTTAGTAATAATTATGAACAGTTTGTTCTTTTCATAATTCACCAAAATAGCATAACGATGTTCAATAATTTGTCTTATATTTCTTTTATTAACCTGAATATCCAACCCGTTATACGCGTTTACTAATCTTAAGGTGACCAGCATTTGAACCTCCGTTGTCACAAGAGAATTTTTATTCCTCCTTGGATTCAAACCTGAGACCTGCATTCACTTTTAACCTTTGGAGTTCAAGCTCAAACCAATTGGACACGATACTTACGGTTTATTTTATCTCATATTTAATGTCTATATGCATCGTTTGATATGATTTATGTTTTTTTATCAAAATTTTACCGTTAATAACTTAGGGGCTGTTCGATTCGTTTTATGTTAAGACCTGTATGGATATAGTTGTCTGTATATTAACAGATAAGTTGTTGTTCGATTGTTGTGCTGAATAAACAGTCTGAATGTCAGAAATGACCATTTTACCCCCAACCTATATTAAAGACTATTAAAGCATTTGTTTGATAAAAATGTTGAATATTTGACTTTAAATGGTTAAAAAAATATCAATTCAACGTTTTTTTTTGTAAATAAAAACAATTTACCAAGTCCTATCAAACCCAAATTAGAACAATTTCATTCTCAAAAATATCAACTCCTGATATTTTTTTCAAATCTAAAATCTTTAAATTAAAGTCAAGTATCAAATCTTTAATTGTTGGTGGGATTTTAGATGTTATTAAGAATGAGATTGTTTGTTAAAAGAATGGTATTTAAGTAAAAAGTTTGGCTGAATGTAGACAAGTGCCCTTCTCAAGCTGCCCAAATAAGCTCTTGATTTCCAGATTAAGCCATAACCGAACAATCATTTATGGCTGATCAAATAAGCTATATAGGCTATACAGTCCAATAAGCCACAACCGAACAGCCCCTTAATATCTTTTATTAAACGAATATAAGATATATGTATGAAAATTGCTAAAATTATAATATACTATTTTACCAAATAAACAACTCATAGGAGATTGGGATTGCTAACCTTAAAAGTAACCTTTTTTTTAGTCATTTTTATAACACACATTTATAAACTCAAATCAAAATACATAAATTTAGTAAATCCCATGTTAAACATAACATATACCTACACATTTCTTTTATTTTAAAAACTAGAAATATTATTTTCTTATAAACCTTTAATATGAAAAGAAAAAATATATTGTAATGAACCACAAGGGTGGTGCCTGATTGATTTGCACTTGGCTCCAAAGGTCAAAAGTACCAGGAGGTCACAGGTTCAAATCCAATGAGGAATAAAAAATTCCATTGTGGCCACGGAGGTTCAAATGCAGTGACTCCAGGTTATTTGCAAAACAGGTGATCTCCCTAGGATTAGTCGGCTCATATAGCGGGTTGGATATCCAGGTTAATCAATATATATATATATATATATATTTTGTAATTTTCCTTGCTTAAAAGATAATATATTTAATGGTTAATAGAATTTTTTATTATTATTTTGATTAATAAATCTGTTCATGAAAGAAAGGAAAGGGAGAGGGACATGCCATGTGAGAATTGTGAGGTTAATACAAAGGAGCACACAAACCTTGAAGATGAAAGAAACCAATTATGGTACCCTTTGGATCTAGTTATTTTGGTGATTGACAAAAACGACCCTTGGACTTTTAAATGGTCGTTACAGAACGATGATTTAACAACCATAATCTTTTGTTGATAGATCGTTAGGTATCTGTTATATATTGTTCTGTAAAAAGACTTGCATATGCCATGCTTCGAAGGGGTTTTTGTATTCTAGAACTGGAAAGACTGTTTTTTTGTTATGCATAAGCAGATTGTTGGTTTAGACATGGAGAGCTGACTTGTCCACACCTTGTAACCAAGATATTTTTTGTGCCGTTGAAGTCGGTTAAGATGCATAGTTGCGTCCATATGAACGTTCCCTATTTATTACAAATATGGATACTTAGGATAGCAAAAAAACTTGTTACCAATGCTAAGAATTGTGTTGTGGATTGGGTGACACCCTCGTAATATCCATCACCCCCTTCTTTTTTTTTCTCGTGGTCCACACAGTTTAACATCAGAACAGATGAAACTCATGAATGAATATATTTGTGCTGCGAAATTGTCAAGTGATCAAGACGTTTGTACATTTTGTATTTTGTAAACAATCTCCCGGTAGGGCCATCCTTCATTGCATAAGATGGCTGAAACTTAGAGACCAAGAACTCAAAAATACTGGTATTGCTTTCAAATGATTGAGTTAGTATGGGAAGTTTGACATGCGGGAGGTATGTGCCCCTAATAGGGGTGGAGGACTGGATTCCCCTCCTGGATGAGTAACAGGGCAGGGACGAGGATGATTTCTATATCTGAAGTGGGTTCGGAACAGTTCACTCGTGAAGGCATGGACAAAGACAGGGACAAATAGGGTCGAGATCAGGGGGTGCATTCCGCACACGTTCCCTCCCTATCCCATTTTCGTCCCTAGTCAAAGATTTTGATTGCAAATTAGGTAAAACCCAAAAGACTTTAAGTGAACACTTCCCCAACTTTATGTGTAAAAGTAGGAGGTACATCATGTGAGTTTGTAAAAAGGCTACACCACCAAACTTCAACTTATTGCAAACTTAGCTGGGAAAGGAGTAATTTCCAAGTATCATAAATCCTTAACCAACTTCCACCTCCACACATTTTACATATTTATTACTTCTTTTATACATAAATATACTTTTTGAACCATTACATTTATTATTTTATCATTAAAATAATCATTATATTCATGAAAATATTAAATAAAATCAAAAACCCATCTATTAAAAATAAACCAAAACAAACCCACTTTTTTTTATTAATCTGGATATCTAACTCGCTATGCGAGCCGACTAATTCCAGGACGACCACCTGCTTTGCAAATAGCCCGGAGCCACTGCATTTGAACCTCTGTGGCCACAAGAGGATTTTTATTCCTCCTTAGATTTGGACCTAGGACCTCCAGGTACTTTCGACCTTTGGAGCCAAACTCAAACCAATAAAAACAAACCCACTTTAAAGATAAGAAAAATTAAATCAAAATTGCTCATGGGTTTGTGTATGCCTCCAAAGTTGCCTTTTTACCTTTTTAGACACCACAACTCTTAATTTGTAATCAACATCAATAAAGCCCCAAGAAACACAAGATTTAAATGCTCATCAGGTTTTTGAACATTTGCAATTAAATAAACCACTTTTGGTAGCAACAAAAGTCACTTACTTTCAGCACTAAAAGATCACCATTTTAGGCCACCATGAGCTAAATCTGGGCATCAAGTTCAACCATTCACTTCTTGGCTCTATCCAAAAACACTTTTTATTATAACAACCTGAATTTTATGCATTAATAAGCATCATACATTGCTAACAAAATCTTGCATAAAATTCAAGATTACACTCCATCTTTAACTGGTAAAGAGGCTTTGTAGTTCTATAAAAAAAAGCTACAATTTCAAACAAAAAAGATAAATTACATGCTTGAATCATGCAAACATCTAGTTTTAGTGAAACCCTAGTGAAGAAAGATGGCAGGTGAAGGGTAGAATGGTATACTCACACTCAACCATTTTCGTACGCTAAAGCATTTGGTTCAATGCTTAGAGAATCTTTGAAGAACTTCAAAGTAGTCCGGGAAGGTCTTACGGGTGCAACCAGGATCCTTGATGGTGACAGGAACATCTGTGCAGGCCGCAAGCGAGAAGGCCATGGCCATTCTGTGATCATCGTATGTGTCGATTTCTGTCACATTCAGTTTTTCTGGTGGAGTGATCACGCAGTAATCGGGCCCTTCTTCGACTGTTGCTCCCAACTGGGAAGTTCCAAGGGCAAAAGCTTTTATCATGAAGCAAGTGAAGGGTAGAAGACTACTTTTTTAGAGAAATACTGTATCAAATTACTTGTACCTTTCTTAGTTCCGTGCAAATGGCAATCATCCTTTCAGTTTCTTTTACTCTCCAGCTAGCCACTGCCAAATATAAGAAGAAAGATCATTACATTTGAGGCTGAGAATATGTGAAACCCCATCAGATTACTCTCCAAAAGAGCCCTTGAGAAGAGAAAGGAAGTTCCAACATATACTAGAAGAAGTGATCCAAGTCTAGCCGATGTGGACTCCAACACGCCCCCTCAGATGAAGGCTAGACGGGCACCAATTGTCCCAGAGTGTTTTGAGTCTGTAGCGTGGTAGAACTTGCTCTGATACCATGTAAGATGTCTAGAACCCCATTAGATTACTCTCTAAAAAGCTCTTTAGGAAAGAAAGAAGGCTCCAACATATATTGAGGAGAAGTGATTCAAGTCTAGCCGATGTGGAACTCCAACAGAGACATCATAGGAAATGAAGATCGTGTTATGATTGATTCCTATTTAGAGAACCGAGGTGGGGACATAAAAATCCCTTGTTTTCCTTAAAAATCGATACGTATATCTAATTGTCGAAGCAAAGGCATATAGACAAAAAATATATACATTACACTCTATTTAGATGTGGTGATTATATTTTGGATTAAAGGAATAAGATTGTCTGCAATGGAATGGTGAGTGTGGGGGGGGGGGTTAAAAATGGCCATTTGTGTCATTCAAAGTTTATTTAGCACAACAAACAAACAACATTTCAGCTTTATCCACACATGGGCATAATGAAAAAACGAACAAACAACACCTAAATCATACCGTCTCTAATGGTTGTGGGACCATCAGCATAAAGAGCAACAACAGCAAGAGTCATGGCAACATCCGGCATTTTGTTCATGTTCACATCTACAGGACGCAAATTTTTCCTTCCGAAAGAATTCCTTGGTGGGCCCTTCACCGTGACGGAGTTCTCCGTCCAGGTTACTTCCGCACCCATTTGTCCAAGTACCTCAGCAAATTTTACATCTCCCTTCATTAAGAAAAAACAATCATACAACACATCCATATAACTGTATATAGATATATTTTAGACTTTTTGAGGTCAATAAGGTAAATTTCAACTCCAAAATTAACATGAAAGAATTAAAAAAATTCAAACAAAACATGCTTAAGTTGCATTGAACCAAAGAATAAATACTTGTTTAACTTTTCAGTTTCTAAATTTGCAATAAAATTCAATTCAAATCAGTGTTTTATAATACCATATTTCTGACATGAAAGTCAAAATTCATATCTTTCTTTAGTAGTACCTGTAAACTGCTTGTCCCACAACCTTCCACCGTGATGGTTCCCCCAGTGATGGCGGCACCAGCTAAGAAGTAACTTGCACTTGAAGCATCACCTTCTACATAAGCATTTCCAGGCGACCTGAAACGATTCTGTTACTGTAAAAATCTTGTCATGACCAAAGGGTCATCGATCCAACGGTATCCGGGTTACAGGCATATCCCAACCTCCCAAAATGTATGAGTTTTGCCGTATAATTATATATACTTCAAAAAAGCGTGTCAAATGATCTACAATAAGAAAAAAGAATTGCTACTTTCATGTAACAGTAGACTTACTTGTACTTTTGACCGCCTCGGATAAGAAACTTGTCCCAACTATCACTGTGTTCTACAGAAACACCGAACCGTTCCATCAACCTTAATGTCATCTCTACATATGGTATAGAGATAAGTTTATCTATAATTTCTATCTCTACGTCTCCAAGTGCAAGGGGAGCTGCCACGAGCAGAGCAGTCAAGTATTGACTACTAATAGATCCTGAGAGTTTGACCTGCAATGTAGAGTCAAATGGAGAAGGTTATATAAGGATAAAAAAAGTTTGTCCTCATTTACCTAAAAGTGAAGTTTTTTATAACCGTGGGTGTCTGGTTTAGCTTGCGCAGACCTTGACTAATCCCATGGGATACTGAAGTTAACAGTAGGCAAACCTCTAGTGGCCCTGGTGAGCGGTCTAGATCAGGCTCCAGAAAAATGGACCACTGAACCTGGTGCACCAGGGTTCCTCGGGTGTGCAAGGGGTGGGGAGGGAAGTCATTATTTATTGAAACTCAACCAAAAAACGTTAGAAGTTAATATAAGGAAGGTAAATGGTTGTCACCTTTCCACCAGGAAGACCTCCACTTCCAACAACACGAACCGGTGGGCAGTTTGTACCAAGAAAACAATCAACGTCTGCACCCAGCTGTTTAAGACCAGTGACCAAATCACCAATCGGCCTCTCTCTCATTCTAGGAACACCATCTAGTATATAGCTGAAAAAAAATATTCATAAACATTAAGAAATTAGGTACGTATCCTTAATATTAATATACATATAGGATCAAGTTCAGGGGAAAACCGCAAAAAAATGAAAAACTAAAGAACTCTCCAGTAACCGTACATCTGAACAATATGCACATGTGCATACAAGTAACTTGTAAGCAATTTGTCCGTTATGCACATGTGCATAACATACACACATGCATAAAAACCAAGAAATAACATTAATTACTTGTATGCAAATGTATATACCGTCCAGACGAATGGTTACCAGGGTGTTCCTCAGAGTTTCATTTTTTGGGGGGTTTTTCCCAAAAAAAGGGTGTTCCTCAGATGAATGGTTCAGAAGAAAGAACACTAAAAAAGGGAGAACAAGGGAACCTATCTAAACCTTCATCTATTCTAATCCAGCAATTGTGAATAATAGAGATGGTTACATTTTGCGAAAACTAAATCAACAATTATAGATGCGGTTACATTTGAATCTGGGTCATCTATTTTCTACATCCAACGGGTGTACTGGATATGACATTTTGACAAAAATATAACACGTAAACATCCCTATTTGATGTATTCATCTTAGAATTATATGCAATTTCAAGATTCTGTCGAAAAACATTCAAAAGAATTCATTCAAATCTTATGGTTGCCAAGTAAAATCTTACAGTTCTTTAAACAAAGAGATAATAATTTAAAAGACCTCGAATTTCCACCAGCAGCAGTAACGGCGGCAGTCAACGGACGCATAGCTGTTCCTGCATTTCCAAGGAAAAGCTCAATTTCATCCTTGGCTTCTCTACCCACCGGAAACACACCGCCACAACCTTCCACAATTGCTCTTTTAGTTGCACCATTTTCGTCAACATGTAATCCTAGAGTTTTTAAAGCTCCAAGCATGTAATGAACATCATCACTGTTCAATAAATTGTCAATAACAGTAGTCCCCTGAAAAAAATAATTCAAATCGGCACAGAATTGTTAGGTCAGGTTCATGATATAAATAACAAACCAAACCAAACAAATCCAATATATCCAACACAGAGGTAGGGTCTGAGGGTAGGATCTACAAAACTTGCTTCTACCCTAAGGGGTCATGAATTATGATAAAAAGAATGGAAGGGTTAAAAGATGTCGCAAGAATAATTTAATCTCCCGTAAGAAAACTTGTAGTTCACCACAAGGAATATAAGACAAGTGAAATGAAATATGTGGAAAACAAATAATACAATGTTCAATCAACCTTCTTGACGGAATTTAACGTTGCAAAATCCGGTTATCTTGTAAGGGTCAGGTTTTTGGAAGAAAAGTAGTCTATTATACCATAAAAGTTAAAGGGTGCATTTTTTTAGAACAAAGATGGTGAATTGTACTCAAATGTAAAAATTTCGGTGTGTTACTCCATGCACAGGGGCGGAGCTGGAAAATTTATTCAGGGGGAGCCTAGAAACAGTGCAAGAAAGTTCATGATTTCAAGGTTTGAAAGCCCCTTTTAAAAGATATGTTTTAATTTAAATACTTATCCAAATATAATAGCTATTAAAAAAGGGTTGGAAAGTAGGAACGAGCTACACTGCATAACTAATATACAAACCAACACAAGGTGTCTCTACACGTGTAGATAAACATCTAAGCAAGAAAAAGACCTTTGAAATACACAACAATCATCGTAGAACTTTGTTTATTCATCAACACAAGATATGTCTAATTTAGAACTTTTCAAATTGTCCGCAAAATTACCTTTTAAATTGTCAGTGTCTTTTACCCTCGAAAAGGTGAGAATTTTGAATTGTTTTTTGTAGATAGGTGCCATTGATCCCCTCTTTTGTTGGCTACCAACCAGCATGCAAGCAAAAGAAAATGAATACAATTCTTTGACTAGATTTTCTTTTCTTCACATGCAGTCCTTTTACTTGTTCACAATATGCTATTCGCTTATAATACCTTGTTTGATTAATGAGACTAGGCAAAAGATTTGATGAAAAGTTCATGGTATGAAGTAACACTTTGGAATCTAAGGCATTAGAATCAAGTTGGATAAATAGAATACCTGAAGTGCGATAATGATGGTGTTGATAAGGGAAGAAAAGAAATAGTAAGCTTATCAGAGAGGAAGTAGTTAGGAATGATATCTTTCATTATTCGGGATCAATATTGCAAAAGAATGAAGGGATTATGAGGAACTAGTTAGGAATGATATCTTTAACTATTTGGAAGTTATGTCATTCAGGTTGAAGCTTTAAACCTTAATACTTTATACTATCTCATCTAGTTTAAGATAGATGAATCGTTGATGATGAATTGATGATGATGTTCATAAAACAGGTGGGACATACAAAATTTCCACAATAAGAAATATAAATGAAAATATTGAGAAGTAACATAGACTATTCCCATATTTCATCAATAGAAGTGTTCATGCATGCACACTTCAACAAAATGGTAAGTCAATTTAGAGCTAATCTATTATCAAAACCACAAATGAAGCGAAAAATCAACAAATTCCCACTGTAACAAATGGTTGAACTCTAAATAAAAGACAATCCAATGACAGAAACACCATCTAAAAAATCAATGATCAAATAAGTGATACGAGAAGACAAAATACATTCGATTAAGACAAAAGCAGATACACAATATAGAAATGCATGTTCTAAATTGATTTAAGCTTTGAGGATTTCTAAAGGCCAAAACAACTATCAATACCTAACCATGTACTATGCAACGATAGGTGATGAATAAATATCTTTTCTTTCCTCATGTTAAGGCTATTCAAAAATGTGAAGAGTCCCATATGGGCTAGTCCTAGACTTGGACTATTTCACCTCTATATATGTTGAAACCTTCCCTCTCTCCTCAAGGGATCTTTTGGAGAGTAATTTGAGGGTTCCACATAATTTCACATGGTAGCAGAGCCAAGGTCTACCACTCTAGACATTGTAGGGCAGTCTTACTCGTCTAGCCCCCTCACACTCAAGCACCCTCCCTACATTCTAAGACAATTTGTGCCCGTCTAGCTTCCATTGGAGAGGCGTGTTAGAATCCGAAGGACCCTTTTAGAGAGTAATCTGGGGGTTCCACATAATCTCTCACAAAATGCAAAACCAATAACTAAAATCTAACATTTTCTAATGATATACTACCATACCGTAAATATGTCAACCATGGATATAAACCTATCTCTTTAGTACCCATATCAAGAAGTAGTTGAACACCTACACATAAACAATTTATCTAACAAATGATCCCAAAAAAGTTCAAACTTCATACCGACTGCAGAAATACCCATGATAGAAATACATCTGAAAACGGAAAACCAAATGCTCCATCACAGAAAAAGAGCTACATTATTTTGCTTCGGATGTCCAACCTAACACCTTTTTTTGGTGCAAGATACACGATTAATTGTTGCAAATTAACATAAATGTTATCCTTGTTATAAGGTCTATTGGCCAATGCAAAAGCATTGATTTAGTTAAGCAAATTTCGGTCAAAATTTTATCAAATATGAATTTAAAACATAATTTGTTTGACCTGTCAAAATCCCTTTTAATTTCATGAAGCATGAAAGCAACAGTGAATGGAATAAAATATAATCATGACACGATAGTGATGGTGATGGTGATACCTCAGAAAGGGCAGCAAGGAGAAGAATCCGATTAGAGAGAGACTTGGATCCTGGCAAATGAACGGTTCCGGATATCTCTTTGATGGGTTGCAACACAATCTCCGGCGGCGTGGACGGCTTCTCGGTGCTGGCAACAGAAGCTGAAATCGTAAGTGAGTTTCTCCCGAGGTTTTGATTGGAAGAAACAGAGATTTGAATCAATGGATTTTTGAATTTCGATCCAAATGATACAAAAGATAATGGTGATGATTTGGAAGCGGGGTTGTGTGTTTTGGTGAGATTGGGAGTAAAATTGGCTGTTTGTAGGTTCTTGGCTATGTTGGTAACGTGAACCGCCATTGTTTTTCTCTGAGCTTTACACACACAATCACGCAGTAGCAGTAGTGGGTAGAAAAATATTCAGCGTCGAGACGGAAGGTTGAATTGGTGGAGGAGGAAGAGGGTGGTGGTGGTGGTCGTGGTGGGAAGTTGGGTGGCGGCTTTAGAATATCGCTTCCTTCACCAACCCCCGGCATCCTACCAACCCAGAAAAGATCCGTATTTTAATCGGTGACAAATACTTCAAAAAATTTCGTTTTCTGTTAATCCCGTTAATATTGATAGATTGTTTTTACAAGCTATAGTTTAACTATTATATTAAACCAGAAGTTACTCGAACAATACAATGAGATATATCTAGATTTTAATATTTTATTTTATTTTTTGTTTCTGTCAATATTATAATATGATTTTATTTGTTTTTAAAAAACAATGATGATTTTATTTTTTAATAAAATATAAACATACTTTGAAAAAAAATATATCAATGTTAATATCAAATCAACTATTTACAAGTTCTCAGTTTTTCTCTCATTTTTTTATAATTTAATTTAGCATTTTATAAGGATAATAATTAAGTATTCTGTTATGACTCAATTATTATTTTAATTATATTTTATATTTAAAATGAGAAATTTATCTTGTATTTGATTATGTTTATCTGCAGTTAGTTACACGAATTCATATATGAAAATTTAATAAGTTGTAATTACGCACAATCTACTTGTAATATTGAATTTTAAGTAACATGCATTAATAAACAGTACTTTATGCATAAAAAGTGGTTTTTAAAAGTTTTTGTCAAATGATTTATAATAGTACTAGAAGAATACTCGCACAATGCAGCGAGACACATCTAGATTTTAATGTTCTATTTTATTATTTGTCTCTGTCGATGTTATAATACGAATTTATGTGTTTTTAAAAAAAGCAATAATGATTTTATTTTTGAATAAAATATAAATTTGAATATATCATAAAATTTTGAAAAAAAATATATTTATGTTAATATCAAATCAACTATTTAAAAGTTCTATTTTTTTTGTAATTTCTTTAATTTATTTTTTTTATTATCATTTAACTTTAAGTTTAATAACGAAATAAATTATTTTTGCTTTAATAATATAACATTTTATAAATATAAAAATTAAATATTATGTTAGAACTCAATGATTATCTTAATTATATTTTAGATTTTTTATATTCAAAATGAGATGTATATCCTGTATTTTATTATGTTTATCTGCAGTTAGTTAGACGAATTCAGATATGGAGTTTTAATAAGTTGTACTTACGCACAATCTACTTGTAATCTTGAGTTTTAAGTAATATGCATTAATAAACAGTACTTTACGCATAAAAAGTGATTTTTAAGAGTTTTTGTCAAATGCTTTATAATATAGTATAAATAGATATAGATAATAGTTTGAATATAAAAAATAACCAATTTACCCCAATATAATTCAGCTTGAAAAACATAATGCATTCGATTCTTTACAAATAACAATGGGAAAATCTCTATGGCAAAGAATAATTTATTAGAATCTTTATGGTAATATATTTTCATCCGTGCTTGTACTTATTTTAAAATTTTAACGAGTCTTTAATGTAACAGGAACCTAGGTTGTTTATTTAATCAAGAACCGAACTCGTTAAAAAAAATTACAAACATAATGACCCAATTCGTAAAGAAAATGCAACCACGGGAATGTAACTTGTTAAAAAAATGATTCCATAAGAACACGTTATATTGGACTCACAGAAAAGGGAAAAGGATAGTTAAAAGTATTTTCAAATTACTTTTTTAATAAAAAAATGCAATCATATTTAATATATTGACGAAAAATCCAACATTTTTTTGCGTATGAAGAGAACACAACAATTTTTTATGATTTTAAAAAGAACACATCCTTGATTCCAGAAAAACAATGCTTACAATATGATTATTTCTGAGGTACATTTTATTGATAATGGAAGTTTTTGAACTTCTCAAATAATAATTTCTTCCGTCAAATAGTGAAAAGACTGACACCGTTAGGCATAAGGGACATTCGCCGTAAAAGCAATGAGTTGAATCTTTACAGGTTGATTGATGTTAGGCATTGTATTCTAATTGCCACGACTATCATGTAAATCATATATGATTTCTGGTTTTAATCATATTCTAACATTTTATTTACTGAACTTTTTCATGAAAGAAATCAAAGAAAAACGTTTTAGAGCTCTGAGGTATTTGATTTAGTATATAAAATCAAGAATTCAACAACATTTCGTTTTTAGAAATGAAACTTTAGTCTAATAAGACGTATTATTTGAACACAAGCATAGAAGAAAGCCCATGCTCGTTTGGAGCTTTGAATCTAGTTCATACAGTTTTCTTGCGTCAATCAGAAATCACATAAAATAGTGAATTTTTTCGTTTATATTTAAGGAATAGTCTCACCAGTTAAACTACAAAGCTAATATGATGTGTTCGAACACATCATATTAGCATTTTGAACATTTTATTTATATTGGTTAGCTGTTTTTGTTTTTAATGCTAAAATAAAAAATAATTTTTATTTTGGTTGTTTCAAGATAAATACAATAACTCTTATTTTATGTTCCAAGATAGAGTTTGTTTTATAAAGCTATAAATGTTACAAAAGACTCGTTTAATATGGGTTCATTTGTAAACAAAACAATTTCCTGTTCTTTTCCGAAATGGCGCAAGCAATAATACAAACCCGAGCGGGCTTGTGGTGATTATGAATGTTAGTGTCGAGAAGCTTGGGTAAGTGAAGTAAGCGATGGATGGATCCGAGCCGTTCTCATTGACCGAGCTACACTTCTTCCTCTACCGTATTCCTCTCCCAACGGCCACCTTGGCCTCAAATCAACCTGCATTTTACACAAATCATAAACAATAACTTGATTTTGATCCACAATTCTCGTATTTGTCTTTGTTGAAGGGTATTTTAGGTATTTGACAACCATTTTACCTACAGATAATGTTGCAATTTTCATTGAAAGGCAAAATTGTCATGTGGTAGACACAAGGAATAGTTTAGAGATCAATCCCTCCATAAATTCGACACTCTATTTACAATACAAAGGACAAATCATCCTAAAATCAACCGAAAATCCTAAAATAAATTCAGTAATCATGCTACACCTAGATAACTACCAATATTTCAGTTTTGCACCAAAGGGTCATTGGTCCAGCGGTATCTGGGTTACTGGTAAATCATAGTCTCCTGTTCAAACCTCACTAAAGATGATTTGTGTGCGTGCCGTATATAAATATTAGAGTAAATTACGGTTTTCATCACTGTGGTTAGAAATTGTGATTTTCGTCCCTATGGTTTGCATTTATTGCTCTTTTCATCCCTGGACTAATTCCTACATTTAATTACAAGGGACCAAAACAGTAAAGACTTGTAATCCACATGGATCAAAACAACAATAAATTGTGAATCATAAGAACGAAAACCGTAATTTCTAAACCTCAAAGACGAATATCACAAATTTCAACAAACTACAAGAACAAAAATCATAATTTACTCTAAATATTATATACTTAAAAAAATGGTTTTGCTCACTTGCTAATTTACTGTAAAAAGGATATGTATCCAAACTAGTTAACAAAGTTGTTGTGTAGCCAATAGTAGAAGGGGGAAAGACGAGGAAAATGGCAAACCTGACAGTCCTCAGGTTCAATAGCAGGTGGCGGAGGATCGAATCTTCCCAAGCGAAAGTTCTCGATGCCGGTCCAAGCAATCATTACACCTACAAGAGAAAGAAAATTTAACATTTTCACCTTTTTCGGTGCCATTTATATGGTGGGTGAAGAAATAAAGATGTAATTCTAAGGCCAGTTTCTTGATGCAAGGAGAAATGAAGATGAGAGACCATAAAAATGTAGAACGAACAACGGAGAAAAATTGTATAAATAATTAACTTGTCAAAGGCAATTATAAACCCCGAGTTGAACGTCAAGGAAATATTCTAAAACTTAAAATCTTCTTAAGCAAAATACATGTACTTCCAAACCTTCATTTTGTTACCTCATATGTGGTCTCTCAATCATTTAGACCAAAGTAACTGAACCAATGTACCTTGCATTTTCATGCGATCTCAGATATAAACCAGATATCTAAATGTTTAGATGTCAAATCTAAGATACCAAAATGAAGGTTTTGAAGGTATGTAACATAAAATAAAAATTGAATCAAAGTACATTGCATTTTCATGCAATTTCGCCAATCTTTTTCTATTGTTAGCCATGTGTGAAGATCAACTTCTTAGACCATTTTACATGTCTTTTCAATTCAACCTAACCATCTTTTTAGTGAAGATAGAACAAAGAAAAACTCGCATTAATGAACCATTTTGGGCAAATAATGGAAACATAAATGCAAGAAAAAATATCATATTTGGCACCTGTTTGTCAAAGATTGCTCATTTTTCTTGAAGAACAGTGATCTTTTGGCATTTTTGAAATGACAAAGAATCCAAATACGATGATATGCCATTTCAAGTGTTTTATAGACTCTAGTCTACACATGCTTGGAGGGTTTTGATCAACTACTATATCCATATGTCACAAGACCATAGCATCAGATTATCTATTGCATTGGACACACTTGGGCTATGTTAGGCAAACTAGCTGATAAGTTTTTGACATAAAAACTAGTTGTTAGCTAATAAGCTAGTTGATAAACTAGTCATATTTGGTAAAAACTAGTTGATAAGGTCGATGACAATGTAAAATAGCCTAAAAGGATATGTTGAAAATTTAATTGGAAAAAACATAAGGGGGATGATAGGAAAAATATTTGGAAAAAGTCCCTGGAGCTTAATCAAATGCTACTAGAAGTAGCTTTTCAAAAAGCTAGCTTATGGCAAATGAAACGGGTCTTTTTCAATAAGCTCAAAAAATAAGCTTGTGTATGGTCTCCAAGCATGGCCTTAGACTTGTATAGTAGAAAATAAGATACCATTATCAGTGCAAAGACTTGGAGGAGGGCAAACGAGTTGAAGGGAGTTCTTTGCAACAACTTCATGGAGCCGAGCCCTCACATACTGATTTGAGGCAACACCTCCTGAAACGACCTGCAGGAAGCAGGATCAATACAATTTGGTTCAATGATATACCATACAACTAAACTAAACATCTTGCCAGAATTCCAGCTACTAGTGACTGACTTCAGTCAAATAATCTGAGAAAACTAAACTGCAAAAAAATACCAAATGTTTAATTGACGGCTCAATCTCTAATGCCCATTGAATAGCTCGTTCACACCGTTCTTCTAGATGCAATACAGCAACCCTCTGCATGAAAGGTAAATGGTGGAGGATAGAAAATGATGAAAGCATGGAGCATGTAAGAAACGTAAGCAATGAGGTTTACTATTTGCAGTGATATGCATCTTATTTGTCACCTGAAAAGAGGCAGCAATATCAGCTCGTAGGCCTTGCTCTTCAATACTTGCAGAAGAGAAGGGGATCCCAGCATCACTGCAAGGAAGATAGTGTGATTTAATAATTTATGGAAAAAAGAAGAAACATAAACAGCTATTCTGCACTTCCATAACATTATGTTTTTCTCATGAATGATTGATGGTTAGTTTCATATTAGTTTAGGGTGAATAAATAGACTGTAAAAGGAAGTAACTAGATGCCAGGAAATAAAAAGTGATGAATGGTGTATTAACTTAGAAACTACATCTTAAGTAGGCCGATTTATACAGCCCAGAGGGCTTGATCAGATAAATGTAATCAATTTATAACACAAGATAAAGACTTATTTTGTCCCCCTATGAGGTTGCAAATGAATGTATCCAATGACATGAAAAAGTGAAGGGCCTAAAGAAAGAATAGCTCGAAGATATTTTATGCTTGCAACTTAGAAGTATGAAGTAACAGCAGTAACAAAACATATATCGATTTTCTACATTACATAATACAATTATACATTGTATTTATTAACAATCATTTTAGGAAATTAGTGCATGAATGCACCTCAAAACATGCATAAAGAAAACAAAACTGAAAAGTGAAGATACATAGATATGGCTGAACCATTCAATAAAGCTCCCCCATCTACAAGCCGTATTAATTACCTCCAGAACATTTTTCGTGTTTGTTTGTATAAGAAGTAAAACAAGAAATCCTCAAAGCAAGAAAAAGCTTTGCAAATTCAGAAGACACGCCACACATAAAGAGAATTATGACAAGTCATGATGATTGTTTTTGAAATAAATTGCATACATATTTTTGGATTCAATTGCAAGCCTCACTTGAGTCTTTAGACCAGCATATGAGAAGTTGCAATCTTTATGTTGTTTCATTGGAACCTGAATCAAAGAAAGCACAAACACAATTATGCAAATAAATCCTAAGTTATGATGTACATACTATACATGCTCCTCCCAAACATAACTTACAGATAAATTTATAGATTCAGCATCACCCCGTCGAGCAAGCTCCTCAATGGCTGCCCCCCCACTCCTCCTCAAATCAAGGCCAAGCCACTTTGCGGTCTTGTCATATGCCTCACCTATTGCATCATCGATAGTGGTCCCAAGTTGTAAGTAATGGCCAAGATCATGTGCAAGAACTAGAAGGTTATGTCCTCCTAAGAAGCAAAATAAAGCACGAGAAAGTAAGTAGAGGCTTAAGTTGAGCAATGATATATGATTCAGGTCTCTAACAATGTCAAGTGCCTCTTATATTAACAATTTTTAACTCATGGAGATATAGAATGATCTTCAGAATGAAAAAGCTTCTAGTTTCATCATCATAAACCCATCTATGCAAACAAAGTAAACCTTGTTGAATAACATGATTGGCAAACTGCAACAAACAAAATGTTATGTGCAAATAAGAAACACATGACATGGATGCATTAAATTTCTTATCACATACCCACATACCTCACCTTGGTTGAACAACCTACATATTTTCAAAGATTTAGGAGAGATGATGTAGAACAAAATGTTGACAGTCAAAACAGGCCTGGACGATAATCTCCAACGGCACCATACAACTTAAATTAAAATAGCTAACCTCTTTTAGTTCCCAAAATAATTTAACATCTTATCATTAAATTGAACAGGAAAACCAGGAAATTCTACCTCGTGCAAACTCCCACTCCCTGCACTCTACATGGGATAGAGTAATATGAGATTTCTGAATTGATTATTGTTTTATATTACTTATTTATCTTTATGGGATGCTTTACTCCTAACCCCACAAGGTTCTGAGACGGAGCTTAACCCGAGTCTCGGTTAAGAGGGGAGGGAACTTATGAAGAAGACTGACTGTGCTCTTCCTGTAATCTGCCTTTACTATAGCTTTCTTAAAGCCCAGAAGATGATCTAGAATTGGGTCAATTACGTTTATTAGAAGTGGACAATCGAGTGGTTGTACTTACATTTTCAAGGCTATCACGGATGAGGGTCTCGGAGGCATGGTAATATAAGGTAGATCTTCATTCAGATGCTCCATTTCTTGTTTGTATATTTCAACTCAAGGGATCAGGAATATATGAGAACCTTGGATCAAAGTCACACATAATGATCTAATGCGAGGACAAATAATCCACTGTATTTAATTGTTATACTCCCTCCGTCCCAAAATAAGTGTCCACATTTCTATTTGTATTTGTCCCAAAATAAGTGTCCACTTTCAAAAGTAAATAACCAAATTCTCAAATTTACCCTTAATTAATGCACAAATATTTAAGAGTTGTGAAGAGAGAAAAATTAAATAAGGGTAAAGATGTCATTTGGTTAACCAAAAAGTGTAATAATTAGGCATGCCTAAAATTTTGTGCCAATTCAATTGTGGACACTTATTTTGGGATGGAGGGAGTAATTCTTTAGAATGTACAACATGCCAATTTAGGGTAGTTGAATACTGAGTTAAGTGATAGAAAGTATAATGAGAATCTGAAATATTGCTGTACACAAATAGCAATCCCTAAACTGCTTATGATACTAGCATAGTAGCATACAAATCTCTCTCAATATAAGAGTTCATTTTCTATTTCTGTTTGGCGTTGATATCCAGAACTATAAGATTCATATGAAGTGAAATGCCCAACGGTGGATGTTTTTACAGGATTGTTCCATTTCACGAGGCTGAATCATTAAGTACACAATATTTCTTTTCATTTAACCTTTATCTAACACATTTTACTGTAATTTGGATGGTTTCAATTGAAACGGTGTTGGTTAACAATCCAAATACAAACACGATAGGATTTAATCGGTTGCAATTGCAACAGTGTAATGTGATTTGTACTTGATTATACCTGAGATAAGAAGAGCCATGAAAGGAAACTGCAAATCTCTTTCACACAACCTACAAGAAGAGAAAATAATAATTTCATGTACCTTTTGAGCACCCAAAAGAATGTACAAGAAGCATAGCATGTCAAGTTAATAATTCTTATTGACAATGATTGAGTTAGACAATAGGGAAACACCAGTAATTGATGGGGTCTATTAGTCGTCAATTATAAGAACACTGGGCTAGCTTTCAAGAAAGAAGCAATGCAAAGGATTGTGAAACATTGAGAAGAAAATGATGAGGATGTTTTACTTGTAAAACGTTTAAAATTATTTAATTTAAAAATCTCTAAAAAGTGAACTAACTATTTGACTGGAAGCTAATGGAATTACAGGGTGGAGTGGCAATCCTGGTGGTGAAAGTGGAGCAGCCAGAATCATCCTAGTAAAAAGTTTAGTTGTTTCTAAAGTAGCAAACACATAATTATTAGAACAAAGACAAGAAGGGTCAATTTGTATACCACTTTTTTCCTGCATGTTTTTCTGTTTTGCTTTCTAAGCAGGTGGATCCAGGTTACTTTTACATTATAACTATCATACCACCCACCAACTTCACCAAAAAGTTGCAAAAAGCATAGTGGAAATAAAAAGGTAAACAAAGTGACCCCTTGTTAATTAGTAACTTAAAAGATTTGCATTTGACACTTGGACATAATAACCATGTTGATTATAATGATATAAGACATCTTGGTATCCTCAAAGGTGTACCATATTGTTCGTTAATAACAGCATGTATAACAAAAGTGCAACATATAAAGGCAAACGTACATACTTCCCCAGAACCCAAACAAGTGGTCTTACCTTTCCTGGAATGTTCCCATGCATGGAATTCTATCAAACCAAATTAATCACAATTATAACTTCACTAAACTACGGCAGGAAACTAACAAATTCCTAGGGGGGGTTATAAAGTGGGTTCAGGCCATCCAATGTAATTTCACTATTAAGGGATTGAAGTAACAAGGAATCTTGACTCCAAAACCAAAATCAGTAGCTGTAACAAGACTATATGACTGAATTTTTTAACACTCAGACCTAATCGACGTGGCATGTGGCATGTGGCATGTTATGAAGATGTTGTGACCAACAAACATGAGACTTCTAGGTCTAAATATCTATGTTTGACACCATTCTTCCATTGTGTAGGTCAAAATTTCTATCCTCATATCCCATATAGATAGAGAGTAGTGCCTCAATTCAAAAAAGCTCAAGCATTATACAAATATGGGAAATAAAAGAGTAGCTTAAGCATTATATGAAAACAGGAGAACTAAAACTAACTTCATTATGAAACAGTCACAGAAACTAGACTTTCCACTTGAGTCATATATGGAATTAACAAAAAAACAGTCAAAACCCAAAAAAGCCGATCAACAGAAAAGCAAACAAATCTAATCAATAGATATAAGAATCAAATCCTTTGTGACACTTAAATCGTTTGGGACATAGAGTTTGAATTATTTGATCTCATCTTCAACATTGGGAAATTTATTAATACAATGTACCTAGCTATTAAAGCATGAGCTTCCATGTGATGCACACCAACAATAGGCAACTGGTAACTAGCAGCAATTTTTCGAGCTTTCTGCACTCCAACTACAATCACATTGAAAATAGGTATCAGGACCTTGTCTTCTAATCAAACTTAAACAACATATTCCACCAGAAAAAAGAAAATAAAGTGAGACTTGATGATAAATATTTGACGCTACCAACGACATCCCAAGCAGCAATTCAAATACTTGCATTTGACAAACTACTAACATCAGGCATAATATAACTATGACATAAGCATTATTCTGCCGATGCATCTGGAATATGTTTCACATATTCAGGGAGAAGAAAAATCAGGGGTAGAGTGGTGTTTTCAACTATGAAATTAGCATGGAGTGTTAGTGAAGACTATAAGAGAGTAGTGTAGTGGTATTAAAGAATTGTAATATACATGGAGAGTACCACCTCTCGAATGTTGTAGGAAATAATAAACATCCAGTATGTTCTTGATATTTTCACCTTGTTGAGAAAGATCTCATAAGCTCCCTCCATGGAGATGTGTAGCATATGGTACACTTTTGAAAGAGAGGTTTGATTATCTAATGTTCGGCTGTAAGAGTTTAAAGAGAGAACCTCAACACTTCTCACTGTGTAAATATAGAAATGGTTGTGGTTAGAAATTATAATAATTAGGCTAATCAGTGAGAACTACAGATTATCTAACAATTACACTATTGCAATATTGTTATATATCCAAATCATGCAAGTCAAGCACCATTAGATGACAAAGCAACAATTACAACAAAAAATCAGCTGTACCTCGTAGACACAGGCTTAGCCCAGGACCAATAGTAACTGCAACTGCAGAAAGATCTGCCTCAGTCAAGTTAGCATTATCAAGTGCATCCTGTACCACCTAAAAGCTTACAAGAGATAACAGAGTTTATAATCATTTACATTTGTTACATCTGATTCTTAAAAAACTGAACATCACAAATAACCACTAAACTGGTTAGAATATTGATGGTGACTCTTTCTTTCTGCTAAACTGCATAAGGCATTTTTATGATACAACTTAATGGTGCATCTGTAGATCATACAGTTAGAAACTATTAATGATGCATGTGATGTAGCAAAACTAGCATGTTGAACAACAGATTTGTTACTTGGGGCCCAGATTCTGCTACAGCAGTGTTTTGCTCAAATTATGCGTAAGAATGGCTTGGAGCTATTTCATCAGTATATTCATGGTTTTGCTAGTTTTAGGAAGAAAATATCAACGGTTAAGCATACGCTTCCCTCTATATTTTGCATTTCTGTGCCATTTATTTCTTTCCACTTGTATAAAGGTTAAGGTCTATGTCCATCCTTCTTGCACCAAGGGTCAGGTATAGTCCCCGTCTCTCCAATACCATGTTATGTGTCTATGTAGAAAATAGTACCACCCACAGCCATTGAGTAACTGGGGTAAGAAACACTATTTTCTGGTGTTTGTATCTGAAATTTTGAAAAAATGAACTTCATTGATGACATTGAAGATTTCAATAAGTTACGTACTTACAAAAGAAAATATAATAAAATAGAAGATAAAGGCAATTTAGTAGATTCATACCTGATCAATCACCTGGGAATGAGCTTCTTCTGCCATTTTAGGAGCTACTCCTCCATACCGTGCAAGCAGATCTGCCTTCATGAACATACATTAGAATATTAGGTGCATGTGATAAAAAATAACACTTCACATTTTGTGAAAGGTATCTCCAATTGCTCGAAAAACAAGGTGTTGCAACATATGTAGCACAAAGAACCCAAGGAGTGGATTAGGGTGATGGCACACACTTAGGCGATGGTGGGGCCATATAATTTCAAGATCTCTCTCCATGATTTCTTGGTTTTAGGAATTAGAATTACCAGTACACTTGTAAACATGTTTGCCTGTTTCTTGATTTATCTTCTTCAATTCGGTAACATATATAATAACTGGCAGGTAGGAAAGCAATATCAAAGTACCCATGGAACATTGCCCATTTCTTAGGTTCCATCCTGTAACTACATTTTGTTACGCCCTCCAAACCTTCAAGGAACTTAATGGATCTATGAGATTTGAAAAAAAAAATAACTATCTCATAAGCTACTAATGATCTTACCTCCCCAAGGATTTTCTAAAATCCCTACGATTTCCCAATCCAAATCAAGCCAGTTTTACTAGAAGAAGATTTAACTCAGCATGTTCTATCCAACATGGTTAATAGAACACATAACTAATTGAAGACGAAAATCCCATTAGAAACCTCATATTCCTCATGATGAAACACAGCAATTCCCAAGATCAACACTGTTGTGATTCCCCTAGCTCCTTATATATGGGACTCCTTTTTGTGGTCATGTCTGAGCCAAGTTATTAAAAAGAGTAGATACGTTATAGCTCCTTCTAATCCATAAGTCAAAAACCTATATACTCCTTGTACACTACAAACATATAAAAACAAAGTGTAATCTACGTGATGAATTCACGAGCATATAAGGTCCTCATACCTAGCAGTAAAAAGGTTTTTTTGCAATGTTCATCAATCAGTTAAGAGTGCTATACTCCGTATCCTACCATTTGAAGAAGGCAAGTTGCTTGTTAGATACGTTGGGCTCCCCCTCATATGGACGGCCTTGACTCATGATGACGCAAGATCCTTGTTGAGAAAGTGAAGAACGGGATCCGCAATTAGAAAAACAAATTCTTCTCTTTTGCAGGACACTTCAACTCATTGCCTGTGTGCTCTACTCCATGCATATTTATTAGGCATTTGCCTTCAATTTGCCAGTTGCTTCTATCAAACAAGTTGAGGAAATTATGTTTGGGTTCTTATGGTGCCAAGGGGACATGAAATCAGGAAGGGTGAAAGCCTTGTAGAAATTCATTTGATTATCTACGAGGCATGGGGGCTTAGGCATAAAGAGCCTAACCAAATGGAATATGTCTCTCTTGTTAACTCATCTATGGAGTATTCCGACTAGGAAGGATTCACTATGGGTGCAGTCGTCAGTGGATACATACTTATCGGCTAAATGGAGGAATTTTTGCGATGTCTCAATCCCAACATGCGGTGTAACATCCCTAATATTTCGAATACTTAAATATAACAAAACTAGTATCTCCAGATCAAATACTTACATTGCAGCGGAAATAAAATTTCTAATCTTACAATTTATATCACCATCTAAAATTACAATCTTGAGGAACATAACTTTGTTCTATATAACAACGCCTTGATCTGCACATATCCTTCTTTGGTGCTAACCCTTATACCTCTCTTTATCCAAATTTTCTTTCCAGTTTAATAGCCGCCTAGGTGAAAAAGTTAAAACAGTTTTGGGTGAGCCTCAGCCCAGTGAATCCACGGTTTTCATGCACAAAAAACAACTTTTACAATAAACAATTTTCACGAAGCTTCATAAATTTAGCATGCCTTGATGAGAATAATACTTTTCACAAAATAAAGATATTATAGTGCGTGTCTACATCACAAAGCAACGGCGTCATGGGAGATGTCTACCTCACACAACATTACCTGGCGAACTCACACAGCATGTCCGCACTTACGGCGTAGACAAGCTTACAAAACATGCTCGTCTTTACTAAATTATACCGTAGTACATCCCCATTGACACACAAGTACTCAAAACACATATTATAAAAATATCGAACTTTTCATGCATATATAGCATATAAAAAATCTCGAGAAACTTCAATCAAGCTTGTATATAATTATAAATAAGGCATGCAACCATTTTAAAAAATAAATCACGTGTAACTCATAATACATGTCGTAGCCCAAACCGATCTTTGAAGTGGCTAGCGTCTCCCCTACAAATTCAAGGCCATAATTTTACGACATCAAAACCTACGATAATCCGAGATAGTCGAGTGGTTCCCTTGACACTATTTACTTTAACGATCCATGAGCCGACATCTTTACTTACGACTTTGGTTTAACATGTACATCCATATATTGTACACGTACATATATATGTATACATGCATACATGTGTGTGTGTGTGTATATATATAGTCATTCTATCTTAGCTTACATACCAATTCATCTTCCATTCGATTTCATATAGATACCTACTGCTTATATTTTTTTTTTCTTTTCTTCCTTTCTTTCATATGTTCAAAGGTTCAATTCACAAAACCAACAAGAGCTAAGTAATATATATATATCGCCTAAGACTCTTTCGTCATAACAAGTTCTAAAACACTCGATTCATTACAGTGGCGAAATATCGGTCACCCCATCATATATATATATATATATATATATATATTGACCGACACCAACACGAACTGTAGGTTCTATCTTTTAGAACTGAAACGAGGGTCATGGTTTGATACCCCGGTGCCATGGAAATTACCATTGAGACGAACAGCAGAGGTGCTAGCTGTGATTGTTGGCCACCGTTGCCCTACGGAAACCTACCCGAATAATCGGACAACTAGTAGGATTTTCTAGTAAACATAACTTAGCGATGAAAGGTATTAAACACTTACCGATTGGTGCCAAACTAGCTACGATGTAGAGCACTGTCAACTCTCATTACAGCGTCCACCGTCGCCTTTTCTCACAATAGTTCTCCTTGACCCAAACTTCACATAAAGCTACAAACTCCCATTTTATACTAAGCCACCGGCGGTTTCACATAATATGAAACAATAAGCCATGATTAATGGCCGGAGGTTTCATGTCTCTTAGAGTTCCATGGTTATTCAATTACAATTTTAAGCTCGAACCCTTCACTTCCTTTACCTTTACATAACAAGTCCTTGTAGTTTAAGAATGTTTTTTTGTTGTTACATGCGGTATTTGTAGTTGGCGTAAACTTGTGAAGTTGCGGGAATCTTAAGTGCCTATGCCATCCACAAGGTGTGAAGCAGAGAGTCAACATCAGCTAGATTGACAATTAGCATCATATGGGCCCACGTTGTGCTCTCTTCACTAAGAGGCAAATCCACCAGGCTAGTTTCACCTTGGAGGATAAGGTCAGAGATGCCTTTGGTAGTGGAAAGGAGAAGTGGCCTCAAGATTGGTTCGATATGCATGAAGCCCTTAGGCATACCCCTCAAGTAATACCCAGCCTTCCCACCTTGCTAGTGACATGCAGGATCATATCTTACAAAGAAACCCTCAAGGGCACCTCGTTTCCAACTCAGTCGATGGGTTGTGGCATATTATGCATGTTGAGAGTGAAAAGGCACCCAGGTACGAGTTCGTTTGGTTTAGTCAATGCATTCCTGATTCCCCGGTGTGCCTTCATATTGTGGCTTGCGCAAGGAAAGAGACTTAATACCCAGGACATGATCCATTTCTAAAGCAAGTTCCCCAAAATATGTATGCCCCTTGTGCGAGATACAACTCTATTCACATGGCCATCTTTTCTTTAAGTATGCTTTCTCTATTTGGAGAAAGCTGAAGAGATTAGTCAAATTGGACAATGTCTCGGATGAGTGGGAAGACGTTGTAGGTCGTCTACAAGCCACGGCTGGAACAAATCTGCATGTAACATTGTAGGCCATTTGGTGTTTGCAGCGCCAATTTATTAACTTTGGCAAGAGCACAACACCGATTTGTTCAAGATGGACCGAGGATCAGCAGATGCTGTCGTGCAAGTGATTCAACGAGTAGTAAGACTGAAACTCCTGGGCTTTTCCCTCAATCATATGGAGTTTACTAAGAAGGCGCAGACCTGTGGAAGATACCTCTCAGGCTTAAGAATGATGAAGATCAAAGATTGGTTAACGGAGGGCAGCCAAAGAGTGATGGGAGTGAAGATTGTGAGCTACAATATTTGGAGTTGCCCCATGAATTTGTTAGTGTTTCAGCACTTGGGTGTGTTTTTATTTCCTATTTGCTTAATAAGGTTGTCGGTAGCTAGTTCTATAATTTGGAGTTTTGTTCCAACCATATTTTTGGTAGTAGTTTACTGGTGTAGTGCACTCTGTCTTGACCTCTTGGCCCTATCCTAGAAAGTTGAGTGAACATACTTGTTGGTTGTGGTCTCACCTTAGGTTGTAATCTTCTCTTTTAACTAATAAAACTTTGCCATAGCTATGGCTCTTCCTACACCTACTTGTTCAGTTTATAGTTCCTTCATTGCAAGAAAAAACCCACTTCCTATGGTGAAAATTTGGCTTATAACTTCTCAAATGCAAGATTAACCCTTGTATCTTTAGTTTCGTTGACTACAAAATATTTCTATTTTATGCTTCTTCTAGTAGTTCAACGATAGGCTTATCAACTTTACAACAAACATCTAAAGCAAATACCAATTTGATTCATACTGTTAAAAACTGAAGCAAAACCCAAAAGTGAATGAACACATAAATTATACCATCTCTTAACTCCTAGTAAGAAGTAAGCAACAGGCAATAATTCATGATTACCTATAAACTTTTTACCTGAGAAGATACAACTTGGCTGAGGATTTCACCATTACTTCTAACCTGAAACCAACACCAAACACAAAATAAGAACAACATTCTTCGTTAAAAAGTATTTCAATGTATAAAACCAGCTCGTGCTTGTTTTTATGTAAGATTGCTTTACTTACAACAGCTGCCGCAGTGTCGTCGCAGCTTGTCTCGATTCCCAGAACGACCAGATTATCATTGAAAACGGGGTTCGAACCGAGGGCTTTCGAACAAATCGAACTAGTAGACTCAAAATTGGCCGACGAAAATGAAGACTTGAATGATCTACGAGGATAGAACGATTTTTGTGGTCTTGATTTTGATGATAACGTTCTGAAAAATCTGATTGTACGGTGATGATTATGTGATAATTCTGCCAAAAGATTTAGGCGGGAAATTGTACAAGAAAGAGTCGGTGCCAACGACGCCATTTTTGCGTCTGTGCCTTTGTATGTGTGTCAAAGGAGAGAGAGAGAGAGAGTGAGAGTCGGAGGCTTCTGCACATTTTGCGCCATTTCCACAATTCCCTGACGCTGAACTCAGCTTCTACTATTGGGCTGCTCTTTTAATGGGCTGGCCCGTTTAAGACATATATTGGGCTTTTATATAAGAAATGTTTCACCCTTGAAAGTAGGCATGGCAACGGGGCGGGGATGGGGCGGGTTTTGTAATCCCCGGCCCCGGCCCCGGTTTGTAATACCGGCCTCGGCCCCGGTCCCCGGCGGGTACGGGGATTATCATCCCGTCCCCGGTCAAATTCTAGCAATTTTCGGTCAAACCCCGGTCAATCCCCGGTAAAAAATATGCTTTAGTTTGATTATGCCGGCAATCCCCGGCCCCGACCCTGGCCCCGGTTTGAGTAACATCCCCCGTCCCCTGCCCCGTCCCCGGTTTGAGTCTACCGGGGATCCCCGGCCCCGTCCCCGGGACCCGTTTTAGCGGGTAATCCCCGTCCCCGTTCGGGTCGGGTGAACCGGGTTCCCCACCGGGTCGGGGCAAATCACCATCCCTACTTGGAAGTATTTGAATTCAAAGGATTTTAAGGGAATTGAAATAATTTATCGTAAATTCTAATTCTTTATTTTGATTCACATATTAAAAATATAAGATTCTTTTAAATTTCTTTGGATTAAAGATTTATCATTCCTTGACAAAAGTGAATAAATTGAATTTCATTCTTTGTCAAATATAACAGATATTAAAAGTTGGTTTTAAACAGGCAAAAATAATGTTTGCATCCAATTTAACCCCCCCGTCCACCCCTACTTTACCCTTATCCCGCCATCACACCATTATTGTCCGTTGTTGTAGCCGTCAACCACCCTATTTTCACTCTCACGTCCACCACCCAACCCCAACCCAAACGCTATTATCGTGTCACAATTGCCACCCAACCCCATTTACCCTACCCCAACCTCCCACCACCATGTCCCTATTGTCGTTGTCACAGCTGCTACCCCCAACCCCTTCATACCCTAACCACGTCATCTACACCTCATCCCACCCCCAGCCACCCCCAAACAAAGATAGAGATTCCAATTATTTTGAGATATTTCATTTCAATTCCTATCAACCAACGTGTGGTCACATTCCATTCCAATTTCTTCAGGATGCGTAGGTACATGGGAGGGGACAAGAAAGGAGGGAAAAAGCTCACTGTCTCACGTTTGGTACAACATGTGACAGAACAAGAACTCATTGTCCCACGTTTGGCACCACATGTGACATGGACAAGAACTAGGACAATGTGGGGCAGCATGAGACAAAAGAAGTTTTTTCTTGTTTCACCAAAATAGGTATAAGAAGATGGTACAAGAATGAGACAAAAACTAAAATATTACTAATCTACCCTAGTTTGATATAGAACCCTAATATGGTATTTATTTTAATGGTCATCAGCGCTAGTTGTCGCCACCACAACCGGTGATTACCATCGGCCATCTTCACCTCCTCTTCCACTACAACAATATCCTCAACGCCTCCACAACCATCGCCACCTCTACCACAATCGACCATCGACCACCATCGTCAATTGCCAGCACTACTACCTTCTTTGGCCACCTCCAACTCCTCCTCTACATATCAACCTCCTCCACTACCTCCACAACCATCGATGGCCACCGATTACCACCGTCCATTGCCACCTCTACAACCACCATCACACACCGACCACCACCATCCATTGTCACTGAAACTACCATCGTTGGCCACCTCCAACTCCTCCTCTACCGCAACAACCTCCTCCATGACCTCCACAACCATCGTCGACTATTGACCACCACTGTCTATTGCCACCTCTACAACCACCATCACCATCACCGTCCATTGCCACCACCATTACCATCGTTGGCCACCTCTAACTCCTCCTCGCAACAACCTCCTCCACGACCTCTACAACCACCATCGACCACCACCGTCCATTGCCACCTCACCTCCACCATCACCACCTTCACTACATCGGCCATAGCTACATCCTCTACCGTTGTCAATCGCCACCACCATCACAATCCACCATCTTCACGTCCTCCACAACCATCGTTGTCCACCAACCACTACTGCCTCTACCTCCATAACCAACACCACATGCACCACCACTACCCACCACCACGACTACTACCATCAATTATATCAAAATTTTAATTCAAATTTGGTATCATTATATATGCATGTATTTATTTATATGAAAAGTGTGTAAATATATTTATAAATCAAATTCTTTAATTATTTACATATTCGTGTTAATTATAACTATTATATAATATTTAAAATCATCAAATAACTTTCGGGGACAATTGTTGAGTTCCGTCCCGTCTAGTCTTAATCGTACCAAATACATACAAATATTTGTTATGTACAGTCATGTCTCATCCACTCATGTCCAATTCTGTCCAATCATGTATGCGTACCAAACGGTAACTCAGTCTAATTCATTTGATGGATTCCAATTCCACCAAATTCCATTTTGCGAACCAAAAGTCCCCTCATATTTTTTGTTAGTAAGTATATAATATTTTTATATATGATTAATACCTATAGAGACTTATAATTTTGGTAAACTTTACTAATAACACGAATATTGCATTATAGACTTTTTACTGATTAAGTAATCAGTATCTGAATCTGTTAATTTATTTTTGTAAATGCAAACAAAACGTTCTCAGTACATCCACTCGGGAGTAATACTTAAAAGACAATGAACAGATTTTACTACTCATTGGAAACACACCATATAATGATATATAAACATAGGTTGATTTCGTCACATAAAAAACAAAACGTTACATGATTTTATCAGATAAAAATCTAAATATAATTAAAATAAAAAATAAAAGGATGTGTAGAATGACAAAACTTATTCCGGCATGGAGCATGCTTTTCAACAATATTTCACCTAAAATTTTAACACCTTCATCTTGTATCTCTCACCTAACATGTTAGGATACGGGTCCCACTCTACTCTTTTCCGTTTGATATGATTTTTAACGTTTAACTTGTCATATATTTATAAATTAACTTGTCATATATTTATAAATTATTTAGAAAGCGATGATGTTTTTATTTTTGAATAAAATATAGAACAAATTGCATTAAAAAATAATGTACTTTAATTTGATTCCTATTTTTGGTAACGTACTTTCAAAACTTCTATTTTGGTACTTAAGATGTAAAGTTTTAAACATTTAAGTACCCGGGTAACTGGTTGAAGTATTAACCGGTTATCATGCTGATGTGGCGAGTGATGTGGTATCCAACTCGGTATTATTTGTTGACCTAGTCAGTGACGTGGATTTTTTTAATCTAAAATTAGTCTTTTTTTTAGTCTAAAATTAGTCTTCACTGGGTTACCCGGGTACTTAAATGTTTAAAACTTTACATCTTAGGTACCCAAATGGAAGTTTTAAAAGTACATTATCCAAAATAGGAATCAAATTAAAGTACGTTATTTTTTCATGCAATTTGCCCTAAAATATATGTTTGAAAATATCATAAAAATTTGACAAAAATATATCGATATTAATATCAAATTAACTATTTGAAATTCCTCATTTTTTTATGTAATTTTTTAATTCAATTTTTTTATAATTTAATTTATGTACAATAACGAAGTAATTTATATTTGGTTTAATAATATAATTTTTTATAAAGATAATAATTATTTATTTTGTTATAACTCGATAATTATTCTAATTATATTTTAGATTTTTTATATTTTAAAATGAGATGTTCATCCTCTATTTGATTATGTTTATCTGTAGTTAGTTAGACGAATTCAAGTATGGAGCTTTAAAAAGTTGTACTTATGCATAATTAGTTGTAATCTTAAATTTTAAGTAATATGCATCAATATACAGTACTTTATGCATAACAAAAATATATCGATATTCGTATCAAATTAACTATTTAAAATTTCTCATTTTTTGTGTAATTTTTTAATAGGTACAATAACGAAGTAATTTTTGGTTTAATAATATAATTTTCTTATAAAGATAATAATTAATTATTTTGTTAGAACTCGATAATTATCCTAATTATATTTTAGATTTTTTATATTTTAAAATAGATGTCTATCATCTATTTGATTATATTTATCCACAATTAGTTATACGAATTCAAAAATCGAGCTTTGATAAGTTGTACTTTTGCATAATTTACTTGTAATCTTGAATTTTAAGTAAACATTGGTATGTGGTTTTGAGAAGGTAGTAATATTTTTAGTTTTGAATAAAATATAATTTTAAAAATATCATAAAGTTTTGAAAAAAAATATCGATATCAGTATTAAATTAATCTTTTTAAAAGTTCTTGTGTTTTGGTGTAAAAGTTCTTGCAGTTAGTTACACGAATTCAGATATGTGATGAAATCGGATAGGGATGAACGAGTTTACGAGTTTTAAGAGTTTTTAAGAGTTTTAGCCAAATGCTTTATAAGATAGTATAGATATATACACACACGTATATATACATATGCATAGGGTTGGGTTCACGTGAGACCAGTCTGTTTTTGTGATACCACTTTTTTACACTTGAAACTTCACAACAATATGTTGTGAAAGTAAAAAAAAAAAGTCGAACCTTCACAGTAAAAACACTGTGAAGGTTACTTCACAGTGTTTTACTGTGAAGTTTCAAGTGTAAAAAAAGTGGTCTCACGGGTCTTACGAAACAGACTGGTCTCACATGATCGGTGGCGGATCCAAGATTTTTGTTTAGTGGTATCACCTTTAAAGTAGACTAAAGACTGCAAAATCGTCCGATGTGTTTTTAACCTAATTACAACGTTTTCAAGGGAATTTTAAAGTTTTTTTTGTTGTTTTCGAGAGACTTTTTAGTGTTTTTGTCAATTTCAAATAATTGTTTTTGGTTTTTTTGATTGATTTCAACAGATTTTTTTGGTTAGAGTAACGGTTTCGATTAGGGTTCGGGGCCCGTGGAAAAATGTAATGGGGGAAGTGAAAGGTAAATCATATAAAACCTAAATTTTAACCTATGAATATTTTTGAGTTTTTGACTGG